AAAACAAGCTGGAAAAGCAAATATTATACTGTTCCTAATTCATACTACACGCTAAGTATTAGTACCTTTTTTACATTATTCTATTTTACAGGGTGTCCATGACGGCATGTCAATTAATGCGAATTTCAAATGGGAAAACTTTGTTCTTTAAATGGAACACCCTGTGTTTCTATGCCTAACTGTTGAAGTTTTCGAGAAAATTAAGGTTTTCTCTTTAACCTTGCGATCATAGTAAAAATTAATACAATTTTATCAAGAATGGCTTTGGTAAAACAAAAACTGCGGTCAGGCGAAAAATTATTTTCTATAAAATCGTAAAGGAAACAGTAAAAGTAGCAAATTTATTGAACTTGAATGACAAAATTTACACCAAAGGTTATCGAAGGAGAACACACTATTGACTCACGCTATATATGCACACAATATTCCAACTAATGCTGCCGTTGACGGTCTACATTTCAAATAAAAAAGATACATAAATGATAGATATGATGTACAAAGGTTTTTACGATATATTCTTACATCTATTGTAACATTAATATAAAAAGTTACAAAGAGGTCCCAAAACGCGAGTTCAAATAATCCTTGGAGAGTTCAAAGTTGAAATCCAATATTGGCCCGTTTGTTGGTCAACATTCTATATGTTAAGAAATATGGACCAAACATTGATAAAATCCAATTTCATATTTTTTAGGATATTCCTCAGGATATTTATCATTATTTATGAAAATTCTATACTCCATCTTATCTACTATATTCTTTCGGTTGTATAATTAAATAAAATTATTGAGATTATTATAACTTGGTAATGTAATGAATATCAAACTTTTGGTTGACCTGAAAAAATTCCTAGCATAACAAGAAAACTTTCATACGTAGATATTTTGTATTCATGAAATATGCAGGAGAAAATTATTTTATATAAATTATATGTCCAATAGCCAATATCATGTTTAACTTTCAGTTCAATAATGTAAATGTTCAAGTGTGAAGAACATTATATGGGTCAGATATCAAGGCAATTTAGTATTATTCTAACAATTTTCCATATTTTGTACGTTCGAATAATTTGAAAACGAGCGTTATCTTATTTATTGGTAGCAAAGATTTTCTCTTCCTATTCCTGTGATTCCTTCAAATTGGGCAAAAATAGGTAAGGTGGTTCTTACCGATAGTCTGTGCAATCTCGTATGGATATCGTTGTTTAAAAATTTCAGATGGCAAATCTTCTGTGGACGATAAAGCCTCGGCTATCCTCTGACCCCAAAGAGGTCCTTCCAAAGGTTCCATAGGTCTGGTTGCTGCGCCAAAAATATATGGAAAGGCTGCAATGAAAATTATGTGCCACATCTGTAACAAAAAGAAATCCGTAATTTTCTAAATTACTATAAGGGTTGGTTTAAAATTCTTCCTCATATAGAGTGGAATGAAAAATAATATTAACTGAAATTTTTTTTGTTAATTATTATTTACTAACTTTTACAAATCTTATCACAGATAAGTATAACATATATCTTTTTAAACAATTATTTTCCCGGCTATTTGCCAAAACGCTGAAACTTGGATTACAAAAAAGATAATATGCACATTATGTTCAGTACAACTGACTCAATAATGTTATTTTTAATTTCAACTATTCTGTCTAGTAAAACCAAAAATAAATAAAACACAAGGTACTCACCAGTTGACACTCACTTTAAAAAACTTTAAAATATCTACCGACACGTGTTTCTGCTTGCCATAGCGTCATCAGGGTAGCCAGCACATTTAAAGAATTCAAAGTAAGGAAACTTGTAAACCTTAATGTAATAAACATTAATGGCTTCAGAGAACAGAATAATTGAAACTATATAGTGGAAATACCCCTTAGGGTCAATGAAATAATTTAAAAATAGCCGCAATAGCAAATAGCCGGGAAAATAATTGTTTAAAAAGATATATGTTATACTTATCTGTGATAAGATTTGTAAAAGTTAGTAAATAATAATTAACAAAAAAAATTTTCAGTTAATATTATTTTTCATTCCACTCTATATTTTAACTTTTATCAAGAAGAGGAACTTAATTTGTTTTTAAATTCTTCCTCATGCATAATGTTTAAAAATTTTCTCTGTTTCAGGTATGCCTTTATCGATACATTTTTGTTTGTAAGCATGGGTTTGTTACATGCATCTTGTGATTTTACTACAAAACATACAACTTGTCCTTATTTTCAACCAAACATGCACATCATTTAATTCAAGATTTTATTGTATAAATCTGTCAATGAGTATTTTTTTTTATTTAAAACTATATGTAATGATTGTGACTGTTAGGTTTTGGCAACATAACTATGATGAGACTGATTAAAACTTTTTAATGCTAGCTACTATTATACATATTGTTTAACCTTTCATTTGATAATTTTCAATTTTAATGAAATAAATCTTTAATTATATCAAAGAAATACCAAACATAAAAGACAAACAATTTAACTGATCTGACACAATTATTTGTATACTTACATACATTACGTTATATAGGTACTAATCTTTCAAACAGTGTTATTACAAAAATGCAATAGCACACTGGATATAAATACAAATTAAGAAGAATAATAATTATACCTACGCACAGTGGACGGAAACGCCGAAAAGCTGGCCAAAATATAAAGGCATTGAGCTATTTTACTGAAATTGTGCATACAGGGGTTTTTTGTGTCGCTGATCAAGAATCCGAAGTTGAATTTTGAAAATAACAAAATGGCGGCCATGAAATCCCCCAAAACATACCAAAAATCGCCAATTATCGCTGCATTTTTACAAAACTTTGTATACAGTTTTTTGGGTTGCTGATGAAGAATCCCATATAGAATTTCAAAAAAAATTACGGTCAAAAATATATACATAGTTCAAAAATTATTATTGAATTGAAGCGAATTCATGTTTCATTTGTTTCGGGAAAATTAGGATCTGGCGAATGGAATAAAAATGTGTAATGACTTTGAAAACTAATTTTATTCAATTACTATCTGAATTACATTCACGAACGCATTCAAAAGGTCAATATCTCGCAAAGATGCAAAAAGATGCAGCTAATTTTTTATACACTTTCGAAAAAATGTTCATTGAACACATTCCAATAAGTGTCAAGACCAACCATCACCAACCGCGTAACTTATGGCTTCTTTTGTGGAGTTTATGAATCGTTGCATATACAAAAATGCACTCCACTTCGATAATTATTTACTAATTACCATATAAATAAACTGATCTGATACTGAGATATTTCAATTGTACTTACTTTCTGATGCAGAATCCATTTTTATGATACAGAAAACTGCACTTTGAGAATTTTTACGCTGCAGACAAAATTTATCGATTTTTGAAGCGTTGCGAGCTGCCGAAGTGACGTGCTGCACGGTCGCACAATAAGTAATTTCCTCGCTCAGGTAGTGAACCCGGACCGGTATTAATGGTCGTTTCTAATGCTAGGGGTACCACTACAACGATTTAAAACGTTTTCATTTCAAAAAAAAATCTTCATTTTTTAAATTTTGGCCAGCTTTTTGGCGTTTCCGTCCACTGTGCTACGCCTACGAAATATTATACTGGGCACCGCAACATTGCAATCAATTAATAGTTAGCCATAGTATTTTTAATATATATATAGATCTATAAATTTCATAACACTTCCTTTATGGCCCTTAGAGCCAGATAATGAAATAGTTTTATAAAGATTTAAGTTTAAAATAAAGTGGGAGTTCTCAATATAGGCAGAAATGTAATGAATGTATAATAAAAAGTATGAGGAAGATTTTCTTTACTAGACAGACGACGACATCAGTGAGGAAGGCATTTTTGGTGTTTTTTTGCATCACTCTGTATATCTTGATTTACAGTATACAGTAAACGCAACATAATTCTTTACATATAATATGTATAAGTAATAAGAGAGTAATCTTTCAAATTTATCAACACCTATAACAATAATACCTGTCTGAGTATGAGGAATTTAATTTTCTTTCTAAATAAGAAATCTTACAAATAATGATTTCCGCGGTTATGCCGGAACCGTAAAATTTGTGAAAAGAGAATGACAAACCTAATGTGTCGTTATCATACACAAACCCGCACTTGTGAAAGCCGACTTTTAGAATTCACGCATTTCAGTACCAGTGGTCGTCCCCAATAAAGAATCAATTTGTCAAATGCAGAAGGCTTTATGGCCGAAACGACATATAACACACTTGACCGTAACAATTCTCTGTCAAATAGGCACTTCAGGCCTATATTGTACAAAGCACTCTGTCTCCTCTCGTTGACAGCAGTTCAATTAATACCCGATATTTCATCAATTATATTTATGAAATTGTTATCGTTGAGGTTTTCTCTTGTGAAATGTATCTAAAAATATTACCTATATACAAAGGAGCACCACTACGACTTTACAACGACCAGAACAGGTGGAGGCAGAAGTATTTTTATTAATAAATCAAGATAGTTGATGAGGGCGACCTTTATTTGATGAAAATTCATGTTGAAACAAAACTAAAACCTAGTTTAATTTCGTTCAAATAAATCGAGAATGATATGGATTATGGAGTGTCGTTCAAATTTGGTATGAACGATTTAATAATAACAATAATGACTTTCAAATTGATTGGTCTTATAATTGTTATGCCTACAGACGTGGTTTAAAAAAAAATTCTGTTGTGGAATTTTTACATCATTATTTGGCTATTGAGCACCAAAGAAGTTTAAGCATATTAATCGAAACGTAGGCAAGGGAGCGTTTTATTTTAACCTATTGTCCTGGTTCCGACAATTTCAACCTGTAGAAGATTTTCAAGGACACAAATTTTACTTTTTAATAACAATAATAATAAACACCAAGGATAATACACCCCCTGTATCTCTAAACTGACGTTGTGCTAGAGGGGGCTACATATTTAGAGACAACGGACACACATCCAATATCCGAGTATACTGCGATTAATCTCTCTCACAGAAAAATCCCAGTGCCATGGCCGGGATTCGAACCCGGGACTTTTGAGTGAGAGTCAAGTGTCCTTGTCTCTCGACCATCAGTCATAATAGTTAGTACCATTATTTCGTTTCACAATGGTATAGTGAAAGTTACACACAATTTCCCCAGAAGATGAATGTTTAGGCGGGTAATCTGAGCTATCACATTATAAGACCATTTTTCATTGAGGAAAACTTGACTCGGCTCTTATACTTTAATACGTTTGAGAATGTCATCGAACTTGAAACAACCCAAACAATCCTAAATAATGTCCATGAATTCCAGCAGGTCTAAATAATCTTCCAGCAGGATAGTGCCCCTCCATATTATCTTAGGCAAATGAGAAATCACATTGACAATGTGTATTCTGATATGTGGACCGGACGTCAAGGCCCTATTGAGTAGCCTGCACGTTCGCCGGATTTGAGACCCTTGGACCTCTTATGAGGTTACCACTAAAGCGTTCAATACTCAACCAGAGAATTTTTCGGATTTGGGGAGAACAATTTAAAATAATAATAATAATAATAATAATAATAATAAATGACTTTATTAAGGCGGGGCTCAGCCAAGGCTGCTTTAGCCCAACCTGAAAGTTGTTTACATATGCAATTTACAATGTGAATTTACAAGATATAACATAGTTAAAAAAATAATAATATTTATTCTAAAGTATGAGGTATATAAAATGGAGAAAAAGTGAGAATGTTCATAGCTGAAAACATGGTGAAGAATTTTATTTCATTAAATAAATGCACTAATTTATTTGTTTATAAAATGTTCTTTTACTTTTGACTTAAAAATACCAAAATTAGTTGTATTTTTAATCGATAAGGGTAGAGAGTTATAGATATATGGTGAATTATAAGAATAAGAGCCTTTAAAGGAAGAGGTGGAATGCCTAGGGATATGCAATAAGTGGTTGTCTCGTCTAGCTCGATTATATATATCATCGCCAAATACCAATTTAGATTTTAGGTAAGATGGTTTATTTGTCTGTATGATTTTATGAATAAGACAGCAGTAATGAATATCTCTACGGATATTCATTTTAATCCAATTATACTTGTGAAAATATGGCGTAATGTGATCCCTGCGAATAACATTCGCTGCAAATCTCATGCAAGAATTTTGCACTAGCTGAATTCTATGTTGATCATACGCTGAGAGGCACGGCCCATAGACCACATCGCAATAATCAAAAAGCGATAAAACAAGTGAATCTACCAGTTTTAATTTAATTGGAGTGCTCAACACAAATTTGTACTTGTACAAACCTTTTAATCTACAGTAAGCTGCTTGGATTAACTTAGTGACATGCTGCGAGAAGGATAAATTTTTATCAATGGTAAGTCCTAAACTTTTACACTCGTCTTTAACGGACAGAGGAACATTGTCTAATACAAGCATGTTGTTTATATTAATTTTTTCCCGCTGTCTCTCAGTGCCAGTCATAATTACAGTGGTTTTTAGGGGATTTAACGATAATGCATTTTTTACAGACCAGTTGTGTACCTCCTCAAGATCAATATTCATTTTATTTATTGCTATTTGCTGTGAATCAAAATTAAAAGATTCATATAACTGACAGTCATCTGCATATAAATGCATATTAGAATGTACAATGGCCTGTATATCAGCAGTATATAGCACAAATAACAAAGGCCCTAAAATGGACCCCTGTGGCACACCCCTTGTTATTTGCAATACATCTGAAGATATTTTGCTACCGCCTACTGTGACCTGAACCTGCTGCAGACGGTTGCTTAAGTAAGTTTCGAACCACCCCAAAGCATTGACTGAAATCCCATAATATTTCAATTTAGCTAATAATAGTTTGTGATCTAAACAGTCAAATGCCTTGGAGTAGTCTAACATGACAGTTACTGTAACCATGGAATTATCAACAGCTCGTAACATATCATCTGTGAGATCAAGCAGCGCAGTAGTAGTACTAAAACTAGGTCTAAAACCTGACTGCTTTGGGGGTAGAATATTGTGAATATCAACATATTTTTTTAATTGATTGTACACAATTCTTTCTATTACTTTAGATAATATCGGTAGGATGCTTATTGGTCTTAAATCATTTAGAACAGCAACTTTCTCTTTTTTAGGGACAGGTATTATAAGGGCGTGCTTCCAACATGCAGGTATAACGTTTTCTTTTAGAGCAAAATTGATAATATGAGTAACTGCATTTGCACAGTAGGAGATGCACATTTTCAACATTTCAGATGAGATTTCATCAACCCCTTTAGCATTTGTTTCTATACTTAATATAATATTTACTACTTCAGCAGATGTAACAGTTTGCAACTCTAACGTTGAATAATTAACTTCAGCATACATATTATTATTATAATATTCTATATTTTCAGGATCAGCTGTTGTTTTACTAACCGAATTTATAAAAAAATTGTTTATTATATCAGGATCCTTTAACTGGTCAGGTATTTCATCATTACAATGTTTTTTATGTATGCTTAATTTATCCAAGGTTTGCCAAAGAATTTTGGAATTTCTGTGATTGTGGTTTAATACACTTAGAATATATGCTTGTTTTTCTCGACGAATAGATGCTGTAACAAGATTTCTCATTTCTTTATAAAACGACCATTTTGATTCGGTTTGCATACGAGTAATATGAATATTTTTTTAATGATGATCGGTATTCAGACAAAGCCCTATCGCGTATTCTCATCATCTGTTTTATGTTGGGAGTAATCCATGGGTTTAATTTTTTTTGTTATTCTAATTTTCCTTTCGGGTGCATGAACGTTAAAGAGTTGTAGAATTTTAGAATTTAAAAAAGAAACTTTATCGTCAATATTTTCAATTTCTACAACCCTATACCAGTCAATATTTCTTGCGTGCATTTCAAACATTTCCAAATTTATATTTTTCATATCCCTAACTACAATAGATTTGGGATTATTTTTCCTAACTACTGGCATATCAACTAAACAATAAATAAGGTGGTGATCAGAGAATTGTGACATATTTATAACATTAGATCTTAAAATTATGTTTGGTTTATTAACCAATATATAATCTATTAAGGTGCTACTTTCATGCGTTACACGCGTAGGCTTATTTATTATTTGTGTTAAACTAAAAGACTCCAACAAGGATTCTAGATATTTGAATTCGACGGTAGATTTATTCAAAAAGTTTAAATTAAAATCTCCTAAACAAAACACATAATCCGCAGATATTAAAGTTTCAGCTAATATATCTTCTAAAGTTTGAAGAAATCTATAATTAGTATCTGGAGGACGATAGATACAACCAATACACACTTTATTGCCATTTATCTTACATGTTAGCCATAGATTTTCTACTCCGAAGGTATTATCTGTTTCTATAACTTTAATATTTTTTATATTATTACAATTTCTTACATATATGGCTACACCACCCCCCCTGCCGGTCACTCTGTCCAGTCTAAATAGAGAATAACCAGGTATATCTATCATATAATTATGAATATCAACACTTAACCAAGTTTCTGATAACAAAAAAATATCAAAATTATGTAATAAGATATATGATTTCAAATCTTCATATTTATTATAAAGTGATCTAATATTTAAGTGAGAAATTACTAAATTTGGCAGAACATTTTCATCATCGTCAGCTATCACGTCATACTCACTTAAAGAATCCATATAAAAAAAAAACTATATGAAAAACAATTGTGAAGAACTCCCTATTAAGTTAATTAATTTCATAAAACGGCAACAATAATAACAATAATTATCAGTTAAATATGTAACTTATATTAGTATTAGAAAGGGTAAAATTATTCTTTTTATAATCCTTATAAATTTTATTTCAATACCTATCCTGCTATATAGTAAAATAATACAGAAAAAAGTGTACCCTAATTAAAATATTTATAATTCCAAAAAACTTAAAAAAGTAGAATGCAAAAAACAACCTAACAGAAAAATAGACAATACAAAAAGAAACAGATAACAAGAAATTAAGAAATAAATAGTTATAGTTCCACCACGATGATAAATGCGTTACTTCTTAATAGGTAATTACATTTCCAAGTCTGCAGCACTCTGAATTAGATATTTCTTAGTTTGATGAGAAACAAAAATTTTGCCACCTAGGGTCCATACATTTGTAACTCCAAATTTTGTTACAGCTTCCTTTACCAGTTTTAGTCGCGCAGCTGTTAAGTCCTCCCTGACAACGAAACCCGTCTTCCTAAGTAACTTTTTGTTTTTGTAAATTTCAGCTCTTACTTTGAACGATAAAAATTTTACTATGATCGGACGACATTTTCCTTGTATAAATGGCCCTATCCTATGCACTTTTTCAATATCTTTTCCAGAAATATTGATATTTAATTTATTTTTAAAAAGTTCTATTATCATGTTTTCCACATTTTCTTCGCCCATCTCCGTTATGCCATAGACTCTTAAATTATTAAGCCTGTTATACTGTTCATTTTCATCAATCCTTTTTTTCCAAAATTTCAATTTTCTTCTCATGCTCCTCAACCTTTCTTACAAAGGAACTTAGACAATTTTCCAATTTTGCAAACTTCTCTTCAAATTTACTAAAGATAGCCTCAGATTGTTGTTTACATATTTTAGTTAAGAGCTCTTCAGACAAAACTTCAGTACTGGACCCCTGTTTCAATGCCTTTTCTGTTCCTCTGGTCATGATTAAATAGATTTGGTAGAACTATATTTTAATGCTCGATATAATATGACATATGACTCCTGATTTTAAAATTAAAATGCACTTACTGATATGATATTTCCTTTTCAGACATACACACTGTGCAGCATAGGACTATAGGTTAATGCATAAAAATTTATAGCTTTTTTGCCACAGTTTATCCACACTTTAGATCACTTTATTTCGGGAGTTAAACACAAATATGTTCTCACTCTGACCTCATACTCGAGTATATACGTGAGAGAATTTACATTTACATATACGTAATTCATATATTCACAGAAATCCATGATTTTATTTGAGTACTACTGAAAAAGTAACTGACAAAATCTTCCGTGACGTAACGATATTTCGAGTCCATTTTTACAAGT